CAGGATTTTCAAAATATGATTTGGCAACGCTAGTTATAGATATATTTATAAAATGTTTAATTAACTATAAATTTACTTGCATTGAAATAGTTTTGCATATAAATTGCTATTGGGATTGTATTTATCAAAAGTATTACACATTATATAAATGTATACCAAATCCATATTTCAATCAAGAGTTTATTCTCCAAAATGCGAGACAAACAGAGTATGAATTCTGTAATAATTCTGTGATTTTTACCCAATTGGACAGTAATTACAATAAATGCAGTGACTTTTGTGTTAAGGATTGTCATCAGATTTACCACACCTTAGAGTTGGATAAAACAGAGTTTATGGGACTCACAGACAGTGTTCTCACAATTCAATACAAACCATATAAAGAATTTCATTATACAAGTAATGAAAAATATTTATTTGTTAACTACATGTCAGACATCGGGGGTCTGTTTGGGCTATGGTTTGGGGTGGCGTTCATAGACACGAGTACTTTGATTGCATTACTATTTTCTCGCATTAAACGTATATTTTACTTAATTATTAGCAGAAAATTAATACTTGTTTCGCAATTAATATACAATCGTATAAAACGATTGCTTTCACGACTGGAATCGTATAATTGGCGTAGAATTGTGTCAATCATAACAATACCGATAATTGTTTCGCAAATCTATTCATTAACTGACGATTACTTCTCATTTCCCACACAAACGACAATCAAAATGATTGAATTGAAAGACATTTCGACAAATAGTATACCACTTGAATACATCCCAGCCGTCACTCTATGTTATGAACACGTGTTTAGAAATATCATGTTTACTAAATCAGTGAACACATACATTGAAAGTATTGAATCAAATGACTATAGGCATTTACCAATAAAAGCTGAAGCAGTTGGTTTGTATAATAGCTCAACAAGCTCATATCCAAATAAATTATCATGGTATTATTTTAGTGGAGTAAATAACTCATATAAATTGTTTCATCGCTTTTACACGGAAAGAATTTTGCCTAATTATTGGTTAAAATACTTTAATGTTTCTAACATAAAAGCTTTTGATAAAATTGATCATGATCGTAATATTCAATATGGTTTGTCGAACGCAACCATAATGGATTTAAAACAATTTAATATTTATATTAAGTGCATGGTTGGCCAGGAATCCTGCGATCGAGTGCGGCCACCAGTGGTCACACTATCGCCGTTTGGTCGGTGCCAGACGTTTCTCACTGACATACAAATGGACGATAATATATCAGCGCAACCATTAACTAACCATACCATCGATGGTTCAAAAGTGATTGAATTTATAGAGAACCGCCGATTGGATGGTATAATAAATAGGATTAATATTTTGCGCAAACGTTTTATTATTCATTCGCCAAAGGAATTACCAAAACTGACGGACAGTTGGTTTGAATACAAGGATTTTATGACCATTGGATTGAAAATGAATGCAATATTAGTTAAACTAATACCATATGAGTTGATACGACTGCCGGAGCCGTACGATAGCGGACGACAGGGTGTGTCCGGCGGTGGATGTCGTGTTCGGTCGGTCGGAGACACGCAATACGATTGTCTGCAGCGATGCTATCGTAAGCAATACGACAGTCAATACACAAACATAACCACTTGTTATGCACCCAACGATTTACAGACCATTCAGTTATCGATTGGTGATAATATTGTTACCAATTTTATCAACAAATGCTCCCATCGATCGGATAATAACCCAAATGTGTGTCAATACAAATGTCCGGCCGATTGTCGGGAAACCATATATCAGACCATAAGAAGTGAAGTATTTATTAACCCTGAATATGAGAATACTTATTCTGATGCGTTCACATCATTCAGTTTTGCAAACAGTTATTATTTGCAAATCAATTACGTACCGAAACATACGTTTATTAATCTAATTGTTAGTGTAGTGAATGTGTTGAGTCTATGGCACGGATTCTCAATCGCAGCTATTTTACATAATTTCATGTCATATTTGGTAAACAAATTCCGTATATTGTCTTTCGTACGGTTCGTTCGCCAACGCTATCCACTCCTCAGTACTCGATTCGGTCAGACATTGCTTTTCAAACCACAATATATTCGGGTAATTAATTCACAAAATTCTATAACTATTTAACATGATTATTGTGCATGCACACTTTGAAAGTACATACAGTACGTGCACGTGTATGACATATAAGATATCTTGATATATTATATTGCTATACTGTATGCAAAGTAATAAATATACATTTACTTTATATTCATATAATTATAATTAATGTTTCAGCTCGTATTTATATGCATATTAGCAATAATACTTGGCTACCAATTATACGATGTTTCGGTCGATTATTTTGCATATAAAACGGTTACTGTATTTGACGTAATGGACTACTCATTAAACACTAACTTACCGCACATAACCCTAGTATATTCCGTATTAATCAGAAGCACTTGCTCTTATAACCGACAATGTTGGCGGTCACAGCTGTCACGGCACTCTCCGCAGTGTCGGCCTAACCCTACCGGCCATCGGTTGTTTAACCACATGAATATTGACGCCTGCGGTCAGACCGTGTTAGCCGTCAACGGTATTTACGAGTGGCCGGGCGTTAATATCCGATCGCTGAAACGGCTCATGTCATATCAATGGCACACTTATATAATGGTCAGTGTATTGATTGGTCGCCAAACGGCGAACTCCACCGACAACCTTATCAGTGGTGAGAGCGCACGACTGTCCGCAAGTGGCCAACAGTTTGGTGTCATTCGCCGCTGGAGTGAAGCACTCAACGCGAACCCGAAGTATGTATTACTTCACTCACAATCGGTGGCCGACTTCGAGCGCATACTGAGCGCCGAAACGCAACTCTATGGCGATAATCACACGTTTGTCGTCACCAAAACCGCGCGCCAACTGTTGCCCTATCCGTACGGCCGGTGCAGTCACTACGGCTCAGACCCGGCGACCGGCGCCGAAGGGAATCCCAATAGCGATGGCCAACCGTTTGGTGCGATCTCTCACTCGCATTGTATGAGAAGGTGTCGATTGAGTTACGTTAGGAAACCTCCCAATAAATGGTGCGGTTTATATTCCGTGGACAAAAGTTTATACGAACTAGATTTCAATCTTAACTTAGTTGACAATAATTGTATGGCTAAACTAAGATATAGGAATTTTCGATATGTCAAAATAAATCTAGTGAGTTAAATATTGAATAAATTATCAAAAATATTTTCAAACAAGGATCACACAGCGACGCTATACGTTAACCACAATTCGCGAAATGCATCATGAGATTTTAAATTTTTCAATACTATTATTAGAATACCTTCACTATTATTATTTTGAGAATTTTAAATGTTTTTGACAACAATTAGTTCTATTTATTATGGCAGATTCATTTAGTATATCTCAATAAAAAAAACATTATCCCATTGAAATAACATTACTCCCATAGATTTAGCATTATTCATGTTATCCCTATGCCATAGACTTAGCATTACCCATAAGATTAGCATTGCCATAGACTTAACATTATCCATGTTATCTCTATGCCATAGACTTAGCATTACCCATAGACTTATCATTGCCATAGACTTAGCATTACCCATAGGATTAGCATTCCCTTAGATTTAGCATTACCCATGTTAAAGTATAGCTATAGGCTTAAGCTGTAATCCCATGTTAATTCCCCATAGACTCAAGAATCCCATGTTAAAGTATAGCCATAGACTTAAGCTGTAATCCCATGTTAAATCCCATAGTGTGGAGGCGGAGGGGGGCCGAACGATCATATAAACCACATTATTCATACTGAATTGTGGTTAAAAACATTTTATTATACATATATAAAGAATGTTATTTATAAGATTCTCCTTTCCATTGTTCATTCCTACTCTTCTCTCCACCCACCCTATGGTAAATAACATTGGATACCATATTAATCCTATGGCTATACTTGGAACTAACATAGTAAAGTTCTCATAGATTTAACATGGGTTTTTATGAGATTAAAACTAAAGTCTATGACAGACGTTTGTGGCACTATTTATTATATAGGCAATGAGAGTAACGTTATACCAAAAATATAGAAATAATGCTTTTTTAATGGAGATATTTTAACGAATCTGACAATTTAAATAAAACTAATTATTGATAAAAAAAATATGGACAATTATAAAAATAACAATATTGAAAATATACTAAATACTAACAATAGAATTATAAAATTTGAAATCTTTGATGCATGCCTGAATTGTGGTTAACGCATAGCATTGTGTGTAAGTTTTGTTGATTTATTGTTTTCACTTTTGAAATTATTTTGCCATTTAGTCTGAAGTGTCGGTTCAGTGTCTGTCGTATTGTCCGCCCGATTGTCTGGCAATCGATTATCGCTCGCGTGTTGTCAACGATAACAAGGATTACATTCAAAGGGTTTGGTATAACGACGACAGACCGAAGGACTGGTATTCAGAGGACCGACTGGTTTGGGACTCAACTCAACCGATGTATGTCTATAAAGATGAGCCCATTATGTCATTCCCGGCGTACATGTCATACATCGGCGGACTCTTTGGCCTCTGGTTTGGCACTAATGGCCAGCAATTGATTGTCGCCGTAATTGACAGCCGATTATGGCTTTGGTTGAGGCGATCACTTGTCCACCGCTTTTCGCGTAATAACAGAATTCAAACCATAAATACTATTCCACTGGAATTCAATCATTGAATTTTAACATAATACTATATAACCAGTTCTGTAAAAATGTGATTTATAGCATCAATTGGCCCACCTTCTACAAAAATTTTGTCTATTGAAATTATCTTAATTACTATTAATAATATTATTTTTGTTGTTCAATTAAAATACAATAATTTTTGTCATAGTAATTTATGTTAGTTATTAATAACCAAGTAATTATTTAAACTTAAAACCAATATTTAAAAAATTGCTTAGTACTTAATTGTTAGTAAATTTATTTAGTTATTTTGATTTTTGTGATTGCTTAGAAGTGCACCATAACATGGTAAACACCACGATGGATAGGACAAAATAAACAAACGTGAGTATCATAACTATGTTCGGGTGCTGTTCAATAAGGGGGCCGATCACGAAGGGTGACACCAACCCTAATAGACCGGCCGCTATCGAGAATATGGCAGTAATCCTATTATTTAACGTGATAAACTTTTCACCCAATGATAGGTAGGCTGACCAAAGGGCGCTTAATCCTAAACCTGAAAACAATTTTATAATTATAGTATTGCAATACAATAATTAATAAATATAACAATTTTTTTATGTATTATATACAGTACACCAGGCACTATGCACAAAGAATTTAACATTGTACATAGCGTTGCCAAATGATATTTTGAAAATCCTGTATAAATGTAAAAAATTTGCTGAAAATTCCTGTATTTTCCTGTATCACAAATTTTTCTCCTACATATCTTTTAATGAGATTTATGTTTAATGAGGTTTTTTCATCGGACTCATTATTAATACAGGATTTTGTTTATTAATACATTGTATCAGTTAAACACATTAAACTAAATTCAATCATTAAAAACAAAAATTAAACGTTGTTTTGAAACGAATTTCAGCAATATGCCGAGACAGTTTATCAAGAGTTAATCAAAACTATTCAATACTAAATTTACAACTAATTTTAGAAATATTTATTCCTGTATTTTTCAATGTACAGGAATTACCCCTTCCTGTATTCTGCAAAAATTCCTTAATTCCTGTATAATACAGGAAATTCTTGTATGTTTGGCAACGCTAATTGTACAGTATTATAAAGTTCAAACTTGTAACACAATCAATATTTTAAATAGTAATAGAATTATGGTTGCTCTAATATAAATTATACATATTGTACTGACCAATCAGCGCATTTCCAATCCAGATGGCTATAATGGATGTCTGACCAAAATATAATATACCCAACGATAGGCCGATGATTGCATAGTGTATGGCGAGTATCGCTTCGGGCGACAGTTTGCTGGCCATATAGGCGGCCAATAAGCGGCCCAACGTGTAGACAGTGGTGAGCGCTATCATCAGATCGGCCGACTGTTTGGCCGACAAACTGATGGCCAGGTATTGATAATATGTGGCACTGTATCCAAAGTAGACCTGTTCCATACCACAGTACAAACACATCGATACGGCTATTAATGCTATTATTATGACCCTCATTGTGGGGCTCAGGGCTACCATTGATGAGCTTGTTGTGAGCTCGCCCTCTGGCTTGTCTGCTAAATGATCATGTTTGTTCTCTATTGGTTGTTGCGTAACCCTGTCCATAGGCACGTGATATTGCTTAACTAGGTGCATTATTAGAAATAGTACCGGACCTACACAAGTAATAAATAATTAGTAGTTTAAAAAACAAATTTGTTCTTGATGTAAATATTTAGTAATATCAAATTCAAGTTAGCTTTAAATTACCAATTGCACAAATGGCTCCCACAAGCATATACGGCACTTGTATTAGCGCACGTCTGTCCACAGAATCGTTAATGTTGTCAACGAATGTGCTGTTTATGGATACTAACGGGTCGGCGGCCGCCGATCCGACCCCACGGGACAAATCGCCGGTCAGATAGGGTTTGATAATCATTGGCGACACAATACAGCCCACGCCAAACATAAAGCCTGATATCTGTAGCCAAAGGGCCGACTTATCGGCCCATAACTCTATGATCCAAACGGATGTACTGCTATCATAGGCGCCGATACCCATGACTACAATAAACGAGCACAAGTAGAGTAGCCATATGTTTGGGCAAAACGGTATGAGAATTGTAAATATGACACTACACGTGCACATCACTATCAGGCATATTTGTCGGTCAATGTATTTGTATAAAAAACCAGCTACCATGGTAAATGCATTTAAAACATTATAACATTATCACTTTTGTGATCTCTCTCTCTCTCTCTCTCTCTCACACACACACACACACACACACACACACACACACACACACTAATGACATACCCATCGATCCAATGACAAAACCTATGGCAGTAAATGTGCCGATCAGTGATATATAAGTCATAGATGTGTTGAATATAAACTTCATGTCAACCATTGCCGTCCCACCGATTGAGATGGTTATACCCTAATAAGAAACTTTTTTAGCATATTTAATAAATTATTATTTATCATGTTTATTTACACAATTTATATAATTAAGCATTATTATGAATGTGTACGCGTATTTATCCCAGTTTTGAGCTAGGCCACTCTTTTCCGTAAGATTATCACGTTGTTTAGGCATATTTCTGATTAAGAATAATTAAATAATATTTTTATAAAACTCAATTAAAATTTTTATGAGTTTAGAAAAATAACAAATATTTAAGTATAATAATTAAAAACATATAAACTACAATCACATAATTAAATAATTAGTAAAATATAATTGTATAATGTTTAAATTGCAATTTCTAGCATTTATAACGATTATATTTTTCCACTGGTTATTTTTATTATTTACTAATTGTAATGAAAATAATTTTAAAAATAAGATTAAAGAATAAACATGCTTATTTATAAAAGACTAGTTATTTTATGCATTAACTTTTAAATCTATTAAAGATTAAAAACGTTAAGTGTAAATATCTGGTTATTTTAACTTCAAATGTGATGATAAAAGCAGTGTTTTATTTATATCTTGTATAGAAGTATATGTCCATTTAATTTGTTATACATTATACTTAACTAATCAATAAATGATTAACACTTTATTCAATATTTAGAGGTTAGGGTAATTAATCAAAACAAATTTCAACAAGTTTGTTAAAATATCATGATAGAAAATATAATTACAATTAGATTATTGATAATATTAATAAAACATTTAACATGATAAAAAATAAAATAATTATTAAAAAAATTAACAGCAAAATATAAAAATTGTTTTAAAAGTAATTAATTAATTAATTGATGATGGTGGTCGTTGCGATCGCTTGGCAGTAAACCATAACATGGTAAACACCACGATGGATAGGACAAAATAAACAAGCTCAAGTATCATTAAAACGTTCGGGTGCTGTTCAATGAGGGGCCCGATTAGGAAGGGTGCGGCCAACCATAATATACCGGCCGCTATCGAGAATACGGCTGTAATCTTGTTATTCAACGTGATAAATTTCTCGCCCAATGACAAATAGGCTGACCAGAGGGCGCTCAGTCCTAAACCTGTTTTCATGAAACAAAATAATTATAAAATAATTAATATTAAAAATTAAACATGCTACTATTTATAGTGTACTGACCAAAAAACGCATTACCAATCCATATGGCTGTCAACGATGTCTGACCAAAATATAATACACCCAACGATAGGCCAATGATTACATAGTGAATGGCGAGCATTACTTCGGGCCTTAATTTGCTGGCCATATATGCGGCCGATATTCGGCCCAACGTATAGCAAGTGGTGGCAACCGTTAACAGATCGGCCGACTGTTTGGCCGACAAACTGATGGCCAGGTATTGAAAATATGTGGGGCTGTGAGAGAAATACGCCATTTCTAGTCCGGCGTATAAACTCATAGATACGGCTATCAATGCAATTATTAAGATTCTCATTGTGGGGCTCAGGGCTACAATTGCCGGGGTTGTGGATTGTTTGCCCTCTGGCCTGTCTGCCCAATGATCATGTTTATTTTCTGTTTTTTGTTCCGTTATTCTATCCATAGGCACGTGATATCGTTTCACCATGTGCATTATCAGCAATAGCACGGGTCCTA